AGGGGAGGCAGCACCGCAACCGCCACCGCCACCCCCTTGCCCTTGTCGGAGGGACCACCACTCCACTGATGGTATTTGCGAAAGAAGTTCTTGTTAACGAGCATCTCAACAACCATGATATCTATAAAATATGCACATTCAACAAAGGGTCAAATAAGTAAACCACGATTATTCAGAACAAAACAACACATACCGTAAAGATCGGACAAACGATGTTGAGACAAGTATTCGTCGAGAAGCTTTCGGGTGGGCAAGCGACAAGGAAGTTGATAAAAAATGCCATCCGGATGTCTTCCGGTGACATTTTGGAGCGAAGCCAATTCTTAAAACACAGAGGGCTACATGTCCAATTTAGGAGGAACTTGGGGAGATCATCATTAAAAAAGTATTCGCATTCCAAAAGGCTTGATAACCACTTTGAAAAGTGTTCCGTCTTACAAGAACAATTTTAATTTAATTAGAGAGATAAAACAAATTATTTTAGTTAATCTTTATGTATCATAATAAGCATTTTTGCGGGTTGGGAAAGTAGATAATAATAAAAATAAATAAATATCATATATATATATATATATATATATATATATATAAAAGATTTTTTTGACCACTTTTTAGTGAAAAATAAAAATAACATAATCAAAAAAATTATTATATATTTGAAAAGTAGGGCTAGAAAAAATATACATAATTAATAAAAAAATAATATATTTAAAAAATAGAAAGAAAAATAAAATAAAATTTTAAAAATATTTAAAAAAATTAATTATACATAAAATATCGACACGTGAATATTTTTTAGTCTTATATTTTCACTAGTTTTAAATAAAAAATTATATAAAAGAGAAGTTTACAGAGTTAGAGATTAAAATAAAGAGTAATAACCTGTAGAATAGAAAAATATGAATAGAAAACAAATATTTTCATAAATTAAAATTAGTTTATGAAAAATTTTAAAATAAAAAGTTAGATGAAAACTATAATATAATTAATACATTAATTAATTTTAATTAATGTTCTTAAAATAGGATAAGTTATCAAACAAACGAACTTATGGGTTTGTAATTCAAAGGTTGAACCGATCTATAATGAGAGTTAAATTGAATTTAATAAAATAGTATTTTTTTTAATAATATCATAATATATTAAACTTAAAATAAATTTATCAATAGGAATATTGATATTATTTTGATTATTATCGCTAGGAATATTATTCACATTTGGTCATTCCTATATTCATAAATAACAATAACAATTTCAATCCAATATAAATATTATTTGAAAAAGTATTATATAATAATAAGAATATCTATATAATACATAAATGAAAAATAATACAAGTAACATATGATTAAACACTTAAAATACAAAGTAATTAGGCAAAAAAAATAAAATTCTTTGCACCTAACTTAAAAATAATTAGGAAAAAAAAACTACATCTAACGTGAAAATAATCAAAAAAACAAAATTGCACCTAACTTGAAAACAATTAGGGGGAATTACACCATATCTTCCATTACACCTAATTTCAAATTCTATATATTTTATTTTATTTTAATAACTTACTGTATTGCTCTTAGTCCACTATCTACTCATCAATATCAATTTTATTCCTCATACCCAATTTTAGAAACTATCACAATTTTAGAAAATCCCAATTTTAAAAAACACTAATTTTAGAAAATTTCAAATTTAGTCTCATGAAATATGTACTAAAAATTCCTCCAAAATGTTATTCATTTATAGTATGAGATCTCCAAAATTATTTTATCAAGTAAAATTTTAAAATGAAGAGTTTATGATTCTTAATTACATGTTTTGTTTCCATGAATGATCATAGTGACAATAATAGACTATTACAACAACAAGGACGACATCGAAAATAGACAATAAAAAATAGTGGAGGTCGGTGGCAGAAATAAAGACTACAGTAAATAAATAATATTATCAATAATAATAAAACTTTCTCTATTTACATCTATCTATCCCTGCTTTGAAGGAAGGAAAGAAAAAAAAAAGTTATATATATATATGACAAAACGAGATCGTTTAATCCTTTATCTTTTAAAAAAACAAAAAAGTAACCACGTAACCTTTGATTCTATCGATTTTACCGTTTTATCCGTTTTTTTACTGATTCACTATACATCTACTTTTTAGGAGGTTTCAAACCGGTTCAACCAGTTGAACAAGTCAGTCTGATCCAGTTTTGATAACATGATTTTAAACTGATGAAAATTTATTTTATTTATTCTTTAGTATTATTTTCTTCTAAAAGTCTTTCTAAGGAAAGTCTACCTTAATTAAAAAAAAAAAAAACAAGAAGAAGAATAAGCCATGTGTATACTATTTGAATATGCTTTTCACACATCTTACAAAAACTAATCTTTTAAAGGAAAATAATATTTGATTTAGATCCGTTTACTTATTTTAAAATTTGATATAAATTTATTTTTTATCCATTAGCTTTAAAATTATTTTTTCTAATTAAGAAAAAAAATGTTTAGTGTCCCTTTCCATAATTTTTTACCTTAATCATAATAATTTGTTATTTTAACAACATATTATATGATATTTGATAAAATAAATATAAAATTAAAATTTATTATGGTTAGATAAAAAAAATATCAACTAATAACATACAACTCATATACTTTTCCAATAAGTCAATTTTATGGGAGGGAAATAAATTTATTTTAAAATATAATCAAAGTTTATTCTAATAAAATTTGTTGATCTATTATTATATATGTTATCTATCCATTCTTAATATTCAGTTATGCATTTTGATATATTTATTGATCAATTTGAGAAGTGTGTTAGAAATTGGTTGAATTAATCACCTAGTTATTTTTAATAGTTATGAAATAAAAAACTCGAAATTTATTAAAATATATTAAAGAGGATTAGTTTAATAATTTTGAATAAAAATTAGGATGATAAAATAGATTAATTCGTTATATTTTTTTTATCAGTCTCAAGTCCATCAAAAAATATATGGGATGACTGATCTATCATAATCAAAATAAATTACAGATTTTAACTTGTACCCATCAAAGGACGAGTTTACGGGTTAGTTCAATAATAATTTTTTATATATAATTTTTTTAAAATATACCATTTAACTATATGAATATTTTTTAAGGTTTTATTTATTAATTAATATTTTTATTCGATAAATTAAAAAATATTATATTTATGTATTAAAATAACTAATTATAATAAATAATTTAAATTTAATTAATTTTTATAATTTAAATTATAATATTATAATATATTTATATATTTCAATAATATAACATAAAAAATATAATATTTTTTATTTTAATTTTAATATTTAAATATTTTTTAAAGTGAGTAAACGGACAAAACACACAGAAAAACTAAATCTACCGATCACCTTCCTATATTTGTCATCCTATATAAAATACATATTAAAATAATATATATATATATATATATATATATATATATATATTTTTTTTTTTTTATTTATGGAAACTAAAAATATTACACTTAAACAATAATTTTACTCTGAATTTGAAAAGATTAATAATTTTATAAACCTAAGGTCACTTTTTGTTAAATTAAATTGTGATGAATCTTTAATTTGTAGTCCGCAATTTTAGTTTTTCTTTCAATAACTTTAGTTTCTAAAATTATGAATAAATGTTATTTTTATCTAATATTAAATTTAATATATATATATATATATATATATATATGCATATTTTTAAATTTGACATATTTATTTAAGGTACTATCAAGAATTAATTTAATAATGTACAAAAGTAATGAATAAAAGCAAAGTTAAATATTACACCATAATTAAAGATTTTAAAAAAATATAATTTAAAAAAACAGAAAACTAAATTATATATAAAAATGAAAGGAGAAGTAAAACTACAATTTAGTCATGATATTTTCTAGAAAAATAGACTGACAATAGAAAAGTAAGAAAAAAACTCTTGCTTTTTGTCCTTTGTAATTTCTTCCTTTATTTTCATTCTCTAACTTAAATACCTAAAATATTTTTTTTATAATTTTATTTTTTACTCTAACTTCTTCTTTTATTTCTATATAATTTCTAGACTTCCATCCCTTGACTATTTGTTTTTTTTTTTCTATCACCTCTATTGAAGACTTTTTTTTTAATTAAAGATAATTAATTATTAATTATGTATGAATTAGATGTTCCTATACTCAAAATTACACACACAGGCACAAATTGTTCAATCTGAAATAGTGTCGCGAAAATAAGGTTGAATTTTGGAAAAATCAATTCGAAAATACATTCCAGATTGAGGGGTTATGGAATGTGTTTCTGGAAAGGCCAATCCAAAAATGCATTCTAGATTGGATGTTTCGAAAATACATTCCCGATTGGATTGAGTGTTTCAGGATGTGTTTTCATAAAGGGCAATTCGGAAATACATTATGAATTGGTTATTCTGGAATATATTTTCAGATTAGTTTTTTTAGAAACACATTTTGGAACACCGAATCTAAAATATATTTCTGGATTGACTTTTCTCGAAATATATTCCAAAACACCTAATCTATAATGTATTTTTGGATTAACTTTTCCAAAAACATATTCCAAAATGGGTATTATGGAATAGATTTTTGGATTAGTTTTTTCAAAAGCACATTTAAAAATATCCAATTCAAAATACATTTCAAAAATGAAGATAAATGTAAAGATAAAATAAGATTTAATTTAATTATAATGTATAGGAAGCAATAGCCAATAAAAAACACGGTGCATATGGTAGCTCCCAATCTTTGTGTTGGGCTGGTCCAATATGTGGGAGCCCATTGGGTTTGTGGACTAAACAGTCAAACGTGACTTTACTTGTCCAACACTGAATGCATAGGGCGATAGGTGAGAAAGTAAGAGTTATTCTTGACAAAGAAGAAAAGGAAGTGTAATATACGGAGAGACAAAGAGTGAGAGTGAAGAAGAAGAGAAAACGAAAGGGTTTTGATATTGTAGTTGAATAATGTTCCGAAACCAGTACGACACGGACGTGACGACATGGAGTCCTGCGGGGCGGTTGTTTCAGGTGGAGTACGCAATGGAGGCGGTGAAGCAGGGCTCGGCTGCGATCGGTCTCCGATCCAAGACGCATGTGGTTCTCGCATGCGTCAACAAGGCCAACTCCGAACTCTCTTCGCACCAGAAGAAGATCTTCAAGGTCGACAACCACATCGGCGTTGCCATCGCCGGCCTCACCGCCGACGGCCGCGTCCTCTCCCGCTACATGCGATCCGAATGTATCAATTATAATTACACCTACGAGTCTCCTCTCCCCATTGGCAGACTCGTCGTTCAGCTCGCCGACAAGGCACAGGTCCTCATTCCCTTCCCTTCCTTCTAGGGTTAGCGACAAAAACAATTACTATCTCTCCGCTTTTTTAATGATTTGGAATTGGAACGACTCGTCTAGGGTTCTCCGTTTAATTTCGATTTCAGGTCATGCCATTAAACTGTGAAACCAAACGGTTGGAGTTGGACGCTGATTTGAGTTTGTTATGACAATTGAATTTTTATGCAAGATTTTTTTAACAGCGTTTGTGGTGTCCAATTAATACTAAGGAATGTGGTGAATTTGCGACTCCATTTTTAAATTTTGGTTGTGATAGGGTTTTGCAATTGATGTGGTTGCGGAGATTTCGAAAGCTTTGAGGTTGTGGCTGAAATTGTGGTTGCAGAGGTTTTCAAAACCTTTTGTAGGGCTATCGATTGATTTGGTTGTTTTTGCGGGCGTTGGTACTGAGTTAGTTTCATAATGACTGGTTGAGTCGTTCTGTAATGTGGGTTGGACTTTCTCTTTTTCATGTTTTGAGGGTGTTCTTGTGTTAGGGAAGCTGTTGGGTGTTGTTTAGCATTGAAGTGGTTTATAATAGGGCTTTATAGTGGCACTATAATAGGGCTTTATAGTTTTCAATGGTGACCGTTGCAGCTGCTGGAATAGAAGATTTTCGCATGCTATAGCTGTACTACATATAAGCTCTAAAACAATGTTATTTTGGGAATGTTGGGGGTAAAAAACTGTGCTTTATTCACCATTTTTCTAATTTCTAATGCATTTTTTGTTTCATAAACATAATAGGATCTGAAACCATTCTTTCTTCACCGTTCCACTGAATGTTACCTCTGTTTTTTTTACTTCTTTTCCTTCATAATATACGGGAGTATTTTACACTGGTTCACATTCTGATAATATTTTTTCTATCTAATTTATTATGTTCTTCTCTATCAGTTTCACCATCATCTTTCATTTTTTACTTAATTGTTATTATGTTTCTATTGCTCCTAGATTGATGGTAATTGTTGAACGAACTTTGACGTTCTGTTTATCATGAGTTTCTTTTTTATTTTATTTTCTGGTGTGTAGTATAAATTATATACTTTGTATTATAATTATACTATTTAACATAATGGGCATCCTTTTGCTATTGCATTTTCATGATTTGTTATATGTGCTGCTATTTGAGATTTTCTTTGTATTTGAAATCAATGTGTGGGAGAGGCCCTGGATTCAATTTCTGTTGGAAATTTTAATAGCACACAGTATCACCAAGGTTTCTCTTTAATGAAAATATTTATGTTTACGTCATGCCAAGCTAGGCAGCCATGTCTTAGTTTTTGCTGTCATGCAAATCCATGCTGAGATGGTTGTGTTATGAAGTGAATTGAAACACGAACTATTGTGTTGTTGAAGTCATTATAACTTGCATGTAAAAGACCTAGTTGAATGAGGTTCGAGCTAACATAGGTAAAACAAGATCGTGGATTTTACTTACTGTGGTTGAAACATCTTTCTGTACATATGCAGTTCACAATCAACAAAAATTTGATTAGCTTACCTCTATATTTTGTTTGGAGTTTACTTCTCCATAAACGGAGAGAAAAATTAAGAAGGAAAAACGAAATTTGTTTCTTCATGAGGTAAAATTAACATACATGAGTTTAACATCAAATTTTGGAAAAGCTAATAGGAATAACTTATAAAGAAACTAATTATAACTTGTAAAGAAGCAAATTTCGTTTTTTCTTCTTTGTTTTTTTTCTCTCCTAGAAGTATTTGTAAAGAAGTTTCTCCGAACATATCTTATTTCTATTATATGCCGTTATACGTGTAATTTGTGTTTTGGTTGTAGAGAGTTGAATAAATAGGATATGGGAGACAAAAGTTTGCACTTGTATGTGCAGAATTTACATGACAAATGAGGACTGAGAATTTTGATGCAATTTGAGTTGCAGGTTTGCACTCAGCGGTCATGGAAACGTCCTTATGGGGTTGGTCTCCTGGTAGCTGGATTAGATGAATCGGGAGCTCACCTCTACTACAACTGTCCCAGTGGAAACTATTTTGAATATCAGGCTTTTGCTATTGGGTCTCGCTCTCAAGCTGCAAAGACATATTTGGAACGCAGGTTTGATAACTTCATGGGTTCTTCCCGAGAAGATCTAATCAAAGATGCACTTATTGCAACTAGGGAGTCCTTGCAAGGTGAAAAACTGAGGAGTTCTGTATGCACTATTGCTGTGGTTGGAGTTGGTGAGCCATTCCACATTTTAGATCAGGAAACTGTTCAACAGTTGATTGATACTTTTGAGATTGTGAAGGAGGAAGAACCTCCAGCTGAAGAAGCTCAGCCAGCATCCGAGCAGGATGCTCCCACAGACCAGACTTCTGGTGCAGATCAAGGTGCTGCTGCTGGAGACCAAGGTGGTTCTCCTATGGAAATTTGATAATTTAAAATCAATTTCTAGAGTTGTCGAATACTGATATTTAAAAATGAGTAGGTTCCATGTTGACTCTCTGGAAGAGGACATCTATTAGATGAATTTTCTTTCCTTATCTATTTGTTTCTGCAATTCATCCGTGCCTGATCATTGTAAACGATTTAATAGCTGTTTGATGAACTTGGTTTACAACAATTTACTGAAATTCTGGCTGAAAAATGGTAGATAAAATTCTGGTAGTCTTTATTTTTATTTAATGACATTTTCTGAGAGTTACAATTTTTAATAAATTCTAATGTATTTTAGTTAATTTTAGATTGAGTTAGTCTTGGACAAATTTACATAGAATGTAAGTTTCAAGTATAGTGAATTTTATAACTGATTCAACACTGAAAACAGAGTACAGAGGGAACACACCAGCCAAAACGGTTGGCTTATCTTGATAACAGAAAAATAACAAATTATAATGTTAGTAAAACAAACAAAAATAATATGATGTTATTATAATATAGTGAAAAATACTCTAATATCTTGATAAGCTCAAGGGGAAGATTCCCATATAAACTTGTCGAATTGAGTTTGCCTTTAAATCAGTGAAATTTGAATCTAACGTTAGTAGTATATGATAAACTAGAAGTTGCTTGGACATAAATTTTTGAAAGACAATGGGAAAAAACACGGTTGAGTTTGAAGGATAAATTTGGTTCAACCTGATCTAATTAAATAATTTTTTTATAATATAATAAGTTTATTAATAATAAAATAAAAGAATTATGATAATAACAAAAAATATTATTAAATTATAATAAAAATTATAAATATAAAATATGATAGAGTGAAAGACTAATAATTATGAAAATAAGATAAAAATACAATAAGAAAATTATTATTTAAAGTTGATATGATTAATATAAAAAGTAATTTTTTTTTGAAAAATTTTAATTATTTATAAAATAAATTTCTCTTTTGAAAAATTTGATCTTTATTTTTTTTTTTTTACTAAAATTGATTTAACCCAAATCTTAGTTAATTTTTCTGTTTTTACCGATTTTTATCAATTTTATAGTTTTATACCCGTTCAATTAAAATTCAGTTATCTAGAACTAATGGACCAATTTTTGTATTAGTCCCCATTGGACTTTTTGAATATGATAGTGTGATTAGATTTTGAAAAGAATTTCTTTGGACAAAACCTTTTTTTTTTAAAAAAAAAAGCTTTTTTTTCATGTGAAAGATAAATTTGTGAGTAATGATTATTGCACTTTAGTTATTACAAAATAAAAATATAAACATTTATTTTGTTCCAAAACTTGAATCATATTAAGTCAACAAAAGTCCGAACTAAGTTGCATATTTAACCTTTAACCTTAATACTAGATTTAATTGTCATTTTTTATTTTGTTGACTACCAAAAGATCAAACTAGGACCTAAGAAAATAATATAGCCATGGTCACAACAAATCAAATAAAAGGTCTTGAAAGGGTGACATTGTAAAGTACGAAATACAATCTGTAGAGAGTAGGATCTATAAACAAATTACCATCGATTAAAGCCGAAACACTTTGATAAAATTGAGCTTTTTGAAGCTTCTAAGGTGCAGACTATGTACCGGCTATCTCAAACTCTAATATTATAGACTCAATCTAATCAAAACAGAGTTATTACACTATAAAACAAGTCTTCAACTCTCTAAGTTCTTTGTTCTTGAATCATCATCAAAATCAACAAGCTTCATGTCCATGTAAGTTCAACATCAAGTCCTTGAATGTTCAACAATCTCCCCCTTTTTGATGATGATCAAAATTTTCTTTTAAAGCCTTGTAATAACCTGTTTTATCTGTCATACTAACAAACACATTAAACATACCAGATAATATTTAAAATCAATCATAGTAGGCTTTAAATATTTCTCCCCTTATTTTGATTATAATCAAAAATTGAAAGCTCCCTTTATAATAATCATAAGAGCTCCCCATCAAAATATACATAATTTGGAAATAAATCCCCCTCAAACAAAACAATAAAAGAATACAAATTTCATTTCATAAAGAAACGTCATTACAATCAAAGAGATATATAACATTACAATCATGCAAAATCTGTTTATTTAAGCAGAATTTAGGCAATGTCTAATATTCCTAAGTCTCTTCTAAGATCATAGAATCTATCATTGGGAAGAGGCTTAGTAAAAATATCTGTTAACTGATGCTTTGTATCAACATACTCAATTTTACAGTTTCCTTTACTTATATGATCTCTCAATAAATGATGTTTAATTTCTATATGTTTAGTCCTAAAGTGCATTACTGGATTCTTAGTAAGATTAATTGCACTTGTATTATCACACATCAAGGGAATGTCATTTAGAAATATACTATAATCTTCTAGTTGTTGTTTCATCCACAAAATTTGAGCACAACAATTACCAGCTGCAATGTATTCAGCTTCAGTGGTGGATAAAGCAACACATGCCTGTTTCTTAGAATGCCAAGATACTAAGGATGAACCTAGCAAATGACATGTCCCACTAGTACTTTTCCTATCAATTTTGCATCCACCATAATCAGCATTAGAATATCCTATTAAACTAGTACAAGCATCAGATGGATACCATAAACCAAAACCAGTAGTTCCTTTTAAATATTTTAAAATATGTTTTACTGCAATTAGGTGAGATTCTTTTGGACAAGCCTGAAATCTAGCACACACACAGACAAAATGCATAATATCAGGTCTACTTGCAGTTAAGTATAACAGTGAGCCTATCATACCTCTATACATAGATTGATTAACTTCCAAACCTGATTCATCCTTGTCTAAATAGCATGAAGTTCCCATGGGTGTGTTAGCTTCCTTTGAGGTGTCCATTCCAAACTTTTTAAGAATCTCTTTGCAGTATTTGGTTTGAGAGATAAAAATGTCATCTTTAAGTTGCTTGATTTGTAGTCCAAGGAAGAATGTCAATTCTCCCATCATAGACATTTCAAACTCTCCCTGCATTATCTTAGCAAATTCTACACACAACGAATTATCAGTTGATCCAAAAATAATATCATCAACATATACTTGGACCAATAAGATATGTTCTTTAACTTTCTTTATAAACAGAGTAGAATCAATTTTTCCTCTAGAAAAATCATTTGATGTTAGGAAACTACTTAGCCTTTCATACCAAGATCTAGGAGCTTGTTTCAACCCATATAATGCTTTCTTTAATTTAAAAATATGATTAGGATAACTAAAATCTTGAAATCCAGGGGGTTGCTCCACATAAACTTCTTCTTTAATAAAACCATTAAAAAATGCACTCTTAACATCCATTTGATATAATTTAAATTTCATCAAAGATGCATAAGCAAGAAGTAGGCGTATAGCCTCTAACCTGGCAACAGGAGCATAAGTTTCATCATAATCTATATCTTCCTCCTGACAATAGCCTTTGGCAACAAGTCTGACTTTATTCTTTGTTATGTTCCCATCTTCATCAAGTTTATTTCTAAACACCCATTTGGTTCCAATAACTTAATGTGATTCTTCTCTTGGGATTAATTCCCAGACTTGATTCCTTTCAAATTGGTTAAGTTCTTCTTGCATGGTTATGCACCATTGGTCATCTTTAAGTGTTTCCTCAACATTTTTGGGTTCTATCTGTGACACAAAAGCTACAGACATACAAAAATTAGTCATATTTCTAGTTCTTACACCTTTTGAGATGTCACCTATGATATTGTCCATTGAGAGTCCTCTAGGTGATTGCCATTCTTTTGCTAATTCAGGCGTTTGAAAAGGCTCATTTTCTTCCAAATATAATTCATCAAGAGCCTCTCTTATATACTCATCATCACCTGCAAGTTCTTTATTTGACTCAAGAGGATTTCCCCCAAGGTCTACAATTTCATCAAAAGTAACATGAATAGATTCTTCAATATTCAAAGTTCTTCTATTAAACACCCTGTAAGCCTTGCTAGTTAATGAATAACCTAAGAAAATTCCCTCATCAGCTTTTGAGTCAAATTTTCCTAAGTTTTCCTTTCCATTATTTAACACAAAGCACTTACATCCAAAAATTTTCAAATGAGCAACATTTGGCTTTCTACCATTTAATAATTCATAGGGAGTTGATTTTATAATTGACCTAATGAGCATTCTATTTTAAACATAACAAGTAGTACTAACCGCATCAACCCAAAAATATTTAGGAACATTAGATTCATTTAACATTGTTCTAGCAAGTTCCTCTAGTGACCTATTTTTCCTTTCAACTACACCATTTTGTTGGGGAGTCCTAGGAGCAGAAAAATTATGTAATATTCCATTTTCTTCACAATAATTTTCAAACTTTTCATTTTGAAACTCACCACCATGATCACTTCTTAAAACTTTAATTCTTAAGTCTTTCTCATTTTGTATTTGCTTTGCAAACTTTCTAAAGACCTTAAACGCTTCACTTTTCATTGTTAGGAAAAATGTCCAAGTATATCTAGAGTAATCATCAACAATCAAAAGACCATAATAATTTCCACCAAAGCTTTTTATCCTAGAAGGTCCAAATAAATCTAAATGTAATAATTCTAGGGGTTTTGAAGTGGAAATAACATTCTTTGATTTAAATGATGATTTTACTTGTTTACCTTTTTGACATGCATCACACAATCTATCTTTTTCAAATTTTAACTTAGGCAAACCAATAACTAAGTCTTTTGAAATTAATTTGTTCAAATGATGCATATTTATATGAGCCGCTCTCTTATGCCATAACCAAGGGTTCTCTTCCTTAGCAACTAAACATGTTATGTTAGAATCATGTAAACAATCCAAATCAATCAAGTATATGTTGTTGTGCCTAATGCCCTTTAAATTTACATTTTCGGAATCTATCAAGTGTATAGTGCAAAATTTACTTTCAAATATTACCTTAAATCCTTTGTCACATAATTGACTTATGCTAAGGAGATTATGCTTTAGTCCATCAACAAGAAGCACATCTTTAATCTCCAATGTGTTT